TTTTTTTTATATTTGTCTATCTAAACTAATCTTTATTTTTTATTTTCTACTGGATTCAAGTCAGGTGACTGACTGGGCCATTCTACACCTTGATTTTCTTTCTCTGAACACATATGAGCGTTTCTTGGCTGTGCTTTAGATCATTGTCTTGCTGAAATCTCCACTCTAATTTCATAACCATCCTGGTAATGTAGATGTTGGACTAAAGCAGCTAATGTACATTTACAATGACAGAGGGTTTGCTAAATAACTACTGAGAGATTTCAGCTGCTGTCTGGGCTTTCAATGCTTTTCTACACCTCCCTTTCTTCATGTGTTCAAAACTTTTTTACCCTTGTCATTTTATTTTATTACACAAAACTTCATTTGTAAAATAATTAGATTATTTTTTTTCATATATAAATTTATTTGGTTGCTATCATCATCTGGTGAAAAGCAAAGTCAACAGTACCTTTAGAAATATGTTTTCTGAGACAAATAGAGACGTGTTGAAAATTTATTCACCCACTGTATATTTGAATAGATTTATCTATCCATCCATCCTTCCATCTATCCAATAATAATTTTGTACACTCATTTTACAAAATTCTCAGAACAATTAACTTGTCACTGACCTGTATGTACATTTTACAATAACAAAACAGCCCATAGCAAATCTTATTAAAGTACTTGACTGAAAATAAAACAAAAAATAACAAAATCAATCAGCTAAAAAAACACTCATCAACACTACGATGCAGTTTGTGACAAATAGCTGCAGGCCACAAATGAGACCTGACTTAAAAATAACCAAAAGCTCACCTTCTTTGCACTCGAGAGCGACTCTGGACTCCAGGTTGTCCATCTGCAGCTGGAGGCGTTTGAGTGTCCGGTCGGCATCCCGGGACTTGCGTTTGTAGGCAATGAGCACAGCAATGATGACCAGCAGCAGTAAACCTCCACCGCCTCCAATGCCAATGATGGCAGGCAGCGTCAGTAGGCTGTCCGAGTAGATCTGCAGCGTCCCGGGTGAATATTCAAACCCTCCTGCCCGGATCTGTAACACAGGGACCGGAGACTTGACTGACTGGTATGAGATCTGCTATTAGCTGCCATTAGCATTCGTCAATTTGTTGAGGCAATTCATTTGTGAGGATCAACTTTTGATTTTTAGCAGCAAGAACACAACAGCAGCTCTGCACAAGTCCCAAATTAAAACTTCATGAGCCAATCACATTTGTGAGACATGCTAGGAGATTGAAAACCCATTCAGCTCAAAATGTCCCATTATTACTGGATCATTTCAAGCTTGTTTCTCCAAAATAGAACATTTAACAAGGAACCGTGTGATTGTTTACACAGGCCTTGTTTCGGCAAAAATCAATCCGCAGAGGTGTCGGGGTGTTTGTTTTAACCGTAAAAGTGTTTGTACACAGTTTTACACCAACAAGATGCAAAAGATAATAAGCTATATTTTGTTTCTCTTAAGAAAATGAGGGTGTTTGGCCCATTAAAACTCAACAAGATAGGACCTTGAGAGTGGTTGCCAGAATGTTGCTATTTTGTTTGTTTTGCAAGTGGGTGTTTAACAGTTGCTACGGTATTTCGTGTGATAGCAAACTGACTTAAAGCAAACAAGCCCTTAAAAAGTCTGTCACATCTGAGAGGTCATGTTTAGTTATTGTATAAAATAAAATGTTTATAATAATAATAATAATAATAATAATAATAATAATAATAATAATAACAATAATAATAATCGAAAAACAGCAGCAACAACATCAACAATAACATTGTTTATTATTATTATTATTATTATCATCATCATCATCCTCATCATCATTATTATTATTATTATTATTAACAACAACAACAATAATATGAATAATAATAATAATCATCATCATCATATTATTATTATTATTATTATTATTATTATTATTATTATTATTATTATTATTATTATCATTAAAACAACAACAACAACAACAATAACAATAATAATAATAATAATAATAATAATAATAATAGCATTATTATTATTATTATTATTATTATTATTATTATTATTATTTTAACAACAACACAATTATTATTATTAATATTATGAACAACAACAACAACAACACAATTATTATTATTATTATTATTATTATTATTATTATTAACAACACAATTATTATTATTATTATTATTATTATTATTATTATTATTATTATTATTATCATTATTATTATTAACAACATTAACAACACTATTACTATTATTATTTTATTATTATTATTAATTATTATATAGTGCTCAACATAAATGAGTGCACCCTATTTTGAAAGTGAATATTTTTATCCATTTCTCAGTGAATATGGATAATGTATTTTGGTGCATTTTAATAAAAAAGTTTTAATAAATGTATTTATTTAT